TCAATGGAGAGGGGCTGGTTAATAGATACAAAAACACAGTTAGAAGAAATCAGATTTCGTTTTTGATAGGACAGTAGGGAAATTAGAGTTAACAATAATTTATTGTATATCTCAAAACAGCTAAAAAAATTTTGAAATGTTCCCAACACAAAGAAAAGATGAGCATTTGAGGTGATGGATATCGCAATTACCCTGATTTGATCATTACACATCATATACAGGTATCAAAATATCACATGTACCTTAAAAATATGTATAATGATCATAAATACATAAAAAGATCAATTCTCCCTGATAAGCCTGATTAAAAAGATTAAAGTGAGAAAATAAAAATATATGAAATATTATGAACGAGAAAGAAGAGAGATAACCACAATTATGGAAGATATAATAATTAGAAAATATTATGTGTAGATATATAGCATTAAATTAAAAATCCAGAGGAAATGAACAATTTCCCAGAAAAATAGAAATTATCAAAAGTAACATACAAAGAGGCAGAAATGTACAGAGTCTAAAGAAAACTCTACCGTTTTCCTGAAGCATACAGAACAAGACTTTGACGAAAGAAGAGCAGAGCCTTGTTCTTAAATGTGAAAACTTAATAACAATGCCAAGCCTTTACATATTAACAAATTTAATATAATGCCAATCAGAATCCAAATGGGCTTTTTATGCCAGTTTTTATGGCAGCGTTTTTAAACCTAGAATAAATAAATTTGATATTCATATCAATGAATAAACATCTAAGAACTGCTAGGAAACAATGATAAAAGAAGAGTGAATAAGAATTGATTGTACCAGGCATTAAAACTTTCTCAATATACTGCAATTAAAACAGTATAGTCTCGATACAAGAAGTGACAGAAGAGTGGAACAGAGTAGAAAGTTTAAAGACACATCTAAGTATATATGCAGAGTTACTATATATCAAAAATGGCATTTAAATTGTGTGGAAAATAAATGATTTATTTAATAAATGATGAAGATGCAACTGGATATCCACCTGGAAGAAAAAAATGAGACCCCTTCCTCATGCCATATAAAAATGTAAATTCCAGATGGATTACAGTTCTAAAAATAAACCAAAAGTATATTTTTAATTAGGAAATTTTATAGTTTTGATGGCAAGAGATCTTAAGCAAGATGAAACTAGGGGCCAAAAAAGGAATAATAGATACATTTTTTCAAAGTAAAAAGTTAAATATTTATAGAAGTAGGCAATATAAACAAACTCAAAGGACAAAAAACAGACTGGTGAAAACGTGAAATTCATGACCGACAAAGTGTCACATCCCGAATATAGAGTCCTTCCAAATTTATTTTAAAAGAATGACAAAAACTACAAATGAGTAAAGGGTATGAGGCAATTCACAAAAGAAATGAAAGTAGCCATTAAGCATTTGGAAAAAAAAAAAGGTTCCAACACTTTTTTTCAGTTTACTAGTTGACAAATGGCAAACTGAAACAAACAGATGCTATCCAGTGCTGGTGAGGGTATGGGGAAGTAGGTACTCATAAAATTATGCTAGGAGTATAGATTCTACAAATCTTTCAGAATTTAATATGTAAGTATGTATTAAAACCGTTCACATCCTAACATTCAATCATTCCACTTTAGGGTATCTATCCTACAGGAATAAAAGCACCAATAAGTAACAATGAGATATGTACACGGATATATATTACAGCAATATCTGTAGTGGGAAATAAAGCTAAATATAAAATGAATGTCTAGCAAAAAAAAGAACAATCAGCCCTCTGTAACCATGGGTTCCACATCTGGATTCAATCAACTATGGATCAAAAATAATCAGAAAAAAGCGGCTGGTTGCTTCTGTACTAAACACATATGGATTTTTGCCTTGTCTTTATTCCCTAAACAATACAGTATAACAATTATTTACATAGCATTACATACATAATACCTAACATTGTGTTAGGTATTATAAATAATCTAGAAATGATTGAAAGTATTTGGAGGATGTACATAGGTTATATGTAAATATTATATAATTTTATATAAGGGATTTGAGCATCCATGGATTTTGATATCCACGGGAGTCCTGGAACCAATATCCCGTGCATACCAAGAGACGACTGTGGTTACTACATAATATTATGGAATGTTATACAGCTGTTTATAAGAAAAGTGTGATGAATTTATTGATATGCCCGTTTCACTATAGTCCTCACTAACATAGGTGTTGCTATGAAGGTATTTTACAGATGTAATCAAAGCCCCTGATATGGTTTGGCTCTGTGTTCCCACCCAAATCTCATGTGGAATGGTAATCCCCAAGTGTTGGGGGAGGGGCCTGGTGGGAGGTGATTGGCTCATGGGGGCAATTTCTCCCACGCTGTTCTCATTATAGTGGGTGAGTTCTCATGAGATCTGATGGTTTAATACTATGTGGCACTTCCCCCTTGCTCTCTCACTCTCTCTCCTTCCACTATATGAAGAAGATGCTTGCTTCCCCTTTGCCTTCTGCTATGATTCTAAGCTTCCTGAGGCCTCCCAGTGATGCTTCTTGTGAAGCCTGCAGAACTGTGAATCAATTAAACCTCTTTTCTTCATAAATTACCCAGTCTCAGGTAGTTATTTATAGCACTGTGAAAAGGGACTAATACAGGCCTTAATCAGTTAACTTTATATAAGGGAGAATATCCTACATAATCTGGATGGACCTGACTGAATCTGTTGCAAGACCTTAAAAGTAGAGCTTAGGTCTCCCACAGAAAGGGCAGAAATTCTACCTGTGCACCACAGCTTTAGCCCATGTCTGTGCCATTTCATCCTTCTCATGATCTTCTCTTCCTGACTGCCTGTAGATGACAGCTTTGGTCTATGTCCATGGGTTTGAGCCTGCCTGTGATCCTCCATTTCTGACTGCCTGCTCTATGGAATTCTGAGCCACTTAGCCAACATTCACAATCGCATAAGTCAATTCCTTGTAATAAAATTTTCAGCAGTGGTATGATAGATCTCCTATGGGTTATGCCTCTTTGGTTGAACCCTAACTGATATAAGGGGTTATAGTTAGATTCTATATTATTTATCTGGGGAGTTACCTATGATAAATTAAGCTAAAAAAGCAACTTACAAGGTAATATATATAATTTTTATATAAAAGTATTATATTTGTATATGTTTATATGGGCATGAGAAAAGTATGGAAAGGGGAATACTGAACTGTTAACACTGGTTATTTCATTCAGTATGGAAGTGACAGAAGGGAAAAGAATGCTAAATTTTCTTTATGTATGTCCATATTTGTTTAAATGGTTATAATGGTCATGCATTAATTTTATAATTAAAAAGTAAAAATTAAAAAAAGCTATGATAAAACTATATGACCCTCATAAAATAATGATTAAAAATATGAAATGATTTGATAGAAATGCTAACGATGATGAGTGAAAATGAGGATACAAAATTATATCTACCCACCATAGAGAGGCAGGTATGGGGAGAGAAAGAAAAAAAGATTCAGTCACCTTGGTTTTTCTAATTAGACACATTAAAAAGGCTGGAAATATATATCAAAATGTTTATGAAAGTTATTACTGAGTATGTTGATGTGTGATTTTTACTTTTTTCTTATATTTTTCTGTTGTTTTTTCTCCAAATTTCCTACAATGGAAGTGATTTACTATTATCAAACCAAAAAAAACCCTCAATATTTTTAAAGATGAACATATGCCTGTTCAGAAAGTAATTTCTGGAAGCTTTTCTATTAGAAGCAGATAGTTAAAGTCACAGGTTTCTTAGGGCATTGTGTGGGAGACATTGTGTTAGAGCCAATGGGAATGGCAGGGACCTTCTAATTGATTCAGGGTCTGAATACTAAGACCATTCCTTTAATAACTCTAACAGCCTAGGCAGGGTCAGTGGCTGCTGCTGCTTGCCATTGAGAGAAGTAGCCAGCAACATTTATATACCACTCCACATCATGTCCCAATGCAGTGTCCACATACTAAAAGCAATCTGATTCCAATGAGACTCAAAGTGAGTTATTAATGTGCACTCTACGCAAGTTCTGAGGAGAAGACTGGAGTTAGATTTGTCTTTCTGACCATCCTTTCTTACCTCTGGACAATTTCAATCACCAACATGGAAGGATAAGAGAACCCTTTTGTACCAGGATTCAACGAGTAGGCCCATTTTTCTAGAGACGATTTCCACAAACTTGAGCATACAGGCATTTTAAAGTACAATTTCATTCCCAGAAGCAATGGGGCAAAGACAGAAACTGTATGTCTTCTCAGGGAATTAACAAGTCTGGTTGCTTGGTATTTTTAATGACAGAAAGGCAGGACCATGAGCAAGAGACCAGACAGTACTTTATAAGTCACAAAGCTATAACCAATGGCATCTAAATCCCACAGTTGGGAAGCAGCATGAAAAATATCTCTACTATCTATATCCCCTCTGGAAAAGAGAAACAAAAAGGCAAAAAAAGTATGTTTCAGTGTATTCGAAATCATGAAAATGGTCATGGTTTTAGGTCCTGTTATATTTTCTATAGTTTACTTTAAATACTTCCACACAGAAAGTGTGATGTGTATGTGCATATTATTTTAATCTATAGTCTAGGGGGATTTAGTTAACATCTGAAGTATCCTAATCAGGAGTACAAACTATGCACCTAATGACAGAGAGCTGAGGCTTTATGAAGATTACAGAACAGGTAGTGTAATTGATTTTTGTTTATTTGCTAATAAATGTATGTTTGGGACAATAAAGCCTGAGGCCTGAGGCCAGCTTTCAGTGTGATATTCTTAGCTAGTAGGGGAGGACAACCTATAGTTCAACCTACCACTGACTAATGGAAGCTATTGGTACTTACCAAAAACAACCTAATAATAAGGAACCACCAAAGTAGCTTAAGTCAGTTTGCAACAGAAATCTTCCCTCTGACTCCAGGAAAATGGAAACCAATTCAAACCTCCTATGTTCTTCATAGCCATATTCTTCTTTCTACTCTCAGGTCACTTACCGATTTTTTCATCTTCCTGTACCATTTTCCTCTCTTCTCTGAAAGCCCTGAGCCAGCGTATTTTTTCCTCCAGCTTCTTGGCAAAGAACAGATGTATCTCCTCAGTCTCCTTGTTGTGAAGCTTGAAGGCATTCTTCATGCTGACATTAAAGTCATCATCTCTGCCATCCTCAATGTCAACTACCTCATATTTATCCATGTCAATGCGGCCTTTGTAGTACAGGATGTCTCTCCGGATTAGGTCCTAGATGAGAAGGAGAGGTTTCTTGAAGGTATGTGCAGGGTGAGTACTAGAAGAGTTGGCACATGGGCACAGCAGAATGCTAACACTGTCACCATTTTGAAGTAGCAATGGGGGTTGGTTTGTTCTAAATTTGGCCAGGTTATATTAGCAGTCTGACATTGACAGGTTGGTTAACTAGATGCCCAAAGAAAAAGCCTCTGTCTCACCTCGAAAGATCATTTCAGACACCAGAATCAATCCCTGGACGTGTGTGCAAGTCTGCTGATAGGAAGTAGGAAACAGTAAGTCACACAAACACAGCTAGCAAGGGCGTCTTCTTTTCTAAAACATCAGCAAGCCCACTAGAGGTATGAAATGAGCTGGCTGGTTGCCTAGAGTGTGTTCAAATATCTGTGCAGGCCAGTGAGACCTGAACACCAGAGGAGGACTGAGTGGTATGAGTAGCTAGGAGGCCACAGACTGTTGGCAAAGGATTACCTAGGGAGGGTCTAACACTTAGCACTCTGCGGAATTTTAGAAAAGGCCCAGTCTGACAAGAGAAATGGAGGTAAAAGTAAATAAAGAAGTTCACATATCAACACAGATGAATGTCACAAATCTTATGGAGAAAAACAGAAGTTGTGGATGGACACAAACAGTATGTTGCCTATTTGTTATTGCTGTTTTGCTCTCATTTATACAAAATTGTATTAATCCTAACTCTAGTCCATGAAACACTCATAATTGGTTCATGCATGGCATTTTTATTTCTCTATTCATTTACTTACTTATTTTAATAATATAAAGCACTGGTGAATCTGCCACTAATCCAAGGCATCCTCCATCCTAAATCCTATGTTCATCATTTCCATGGTTTCCTTTCTATATAGTTTTACCTCATCTATATCTGTTCCCTTGAAAAACATACAATACAATGCCACATAATGTTTAAAGACACATAGTATGTAGAAAATTATAAAGAAATATGTGACAATGATATATGCCAAATTCCAGACAGTACAGAGCAGAAAATGGGGAGGGGCAAGAGAGGAAGGAGAAGAAGAAGAAGCAGAAGAGAGGGTGGGAAGGAAAACTATTTGTAATTAATTATTTCTTAAGGTGGATAGTAAGCATGTGGATACTCATTATATTATTTTTATATCTTTTTGAATGTGAAATATTTAATAAGTTAAAAAAGAAAACAGAGGGACGGATGAAATGACATATAGACGTATGGAATGTCAGATCTTATAAATATCTTGAAGTGGTCTTTCAGCCCCTCCTCTTCTTGGCTCTGCCCTCAGCCTCCTCTGATAACACATCCCCTGCTGGGAGATGTGGTATGGCTGAGTCAGGCTGAGGAAGGCCCCTATAAGCCCTGTCCTGACAGATGTCTTCAGGCCAGCTCTCCCTCCTCTCTGCTTTATCTGCTCTTTCAGTCAGCTGGACAGTCAGAAATGCTCATTAATTTTTATTAGCATTTTACAGTTCAATTAAACCATTCCCATTCTACTGAATTGCCTTACTTGACTCACTTCTCAGCTGTGTGCTCCCTATGAAGGATCTTCTTTTGGCCACTCACATTCCCAATCCTAACTCTTCACACTGTGCAGTACACTGAGATTTTCAGTTGGGCTGGGAAAGGCTACCTTGCAGGATTCCCAGCATAGCTCTGTCAACCTCAAAGGCCCAGGCTGGAAAATACAGATGTCATTGAATTGCTTTTGAAAAAATAACAAGCATGTTGCTTTTTTTCCTCCCATAGTGACTTCGTATAAATAAGAAAACAATATAGATGGATTCTGATCTATTGGTTGTCCCCAGGATCAAGTTCACAGGAGAGGAAGAGTTCAGCTATACAGAGAGGGCCAATGTTGTCCCAAGTCTATTTCAGAACCTGGGTTCCTTTTACCATGTTCAGTGTGCACAAGCTCAATCCTGGCCAAAAGGATAGAGTGGTTCCCATACACTGACTTCCACAATTCTCAGGAACACTTTTTGAGACACATGTATAAAAAGTGGGCCCTATCAGGCTAATCTAAGTACAAAACCAGGACAAGCTAGGGAGAATGTATGAATTTAATTTATCTTGATCTCAGAAAGGTTTGAATTGTGCCTTACCATACATAATACAATACATACAAACCTGGAAAGCCAGATCTGAACCACACATTCTCACTGGACCACACTGCCTAAAACAGGCAGCCTCAACTTCCTTGTTGCTAACTTCAGTCCGCAGCCTCCTTCCACTCCGCCCCCATTCCGAGTTGGTGTGTCATAGTCATTGAGAGCTTTCAACACCTTTGCTATTTCCCAAAAATAGAAAGAATATGCATGATCTTGGAGCTACATTAAAAGCATCAATTGAACCTCCTATTGTTTCTTTATATATTTAAGGATGACAAGAAGCTAAAGAGAATTTCTGCTTCTGTGGTGGGGAAACATGGCTAGAGAGATGTGTTGCTAAAATTATTCCTTTGCCTGTTCTCCCTGGTCCCCTAGAGGGTTAAATGTGAGTTTTCAGGCACTAGATTAGTCATAAGCCAAATGTAGAGATGTGATAGGAATAATTAAGAATGACCTACCAGTTCAGGAATTCCAATCATAAAGAGTAGCTAAGAATATAAGCAGTAAGCAGCATGGAACAAAAGAAAGAGCATGATGTAGAGTCTGAAACCCTGAGTTTGATGCCTTGCTGCTTAACCTATCAGCTCTATGGTTACAGACAAGCCAGTTAACCTCTCTGAGCCCCAATTTCCACAACTAAGAAATGAAGACAGTTTTCCTTACTCTGTAAAATAGCTACAAAGCTCTAATATAAACATGTCATTTCCAGGACATGAGGCCAGACTTGTCCACCAAATACAGCCTTGAGCTTTCTTGCTCCTGGGCCAGTGTTTCATAGTCCTTAAAACCCTCTTTTGATAAACTTAAAAGAAAAAACATCTCACTACCTCCTTTAGCTCATTCAGACTTTCCAAATAATTTAAATATTGTGAGTAAAAATAAGTCAAAGCAAGGGTAACTCTGAATATTTTTTCAATTTACATAGCTGCCCCACTGTCCCTGGAAATTCTATACATCCTTTCAGGACAGGGTGGTATTTGCCAAATGGTATTTGTCACCAAACAACAGATATATATTTGGGGTCACACTAATATCTGCTCTCTGGCCCAACCAGGCTTCCTATTCTAATCCTAGCCTTCGAGGTCAAACTTACACATTCTTCTTCCTCAAAGAAACTCCCTGACTGCTCAAGCTGATGTGGCTCCCCTTCTCCAAATTCTAACACCAATTATCAAGGCCCTGACATACTACACACTTGACACTTAGCCACCATGCTGCTCACAGCTTTTAGTTTGCCTGCCCATTAAGGCTGTGCCCAGCACTCTATCTTCTTTGGTCTTGCTTCACTCAGGGTTTGTCCAGAGAAGAGCAGCTGACAAAGCCCCGGAGTTTCCTCTGGTTGTCCTCTGCACATGGCAAGGGGACAAAGTCCTCTTGAACCCTGGTTGCCTGTGGTCCTATTGGAACCAGGCTGCCTACATGCCACTTGTTAATGGTAGTCTGAGTGCCTTCCCAGGGACATGGTGAGCAGGTGCTCAAAACAGATGCTATTTGGATCATCACAACTTTCCTGCCTAATGACGTTTATCATTTCCAATAAAATGCCAGCCTTCCTCCTTTTTCCTTGTGCTCGTCTGAATTGGGAGACATTAAGGGAGCTAGTTCCTCCCCAGGAGGATCCTGGCAATCTGCAGACAGACACTCAGGCTGTGGTCCTAGTCTGTGGCTCCAGCAAGAAGTCTACTCTGTCCCTGATGCTACATAACTGAACAGCTGGAAGCTATTTCAATTTGGCCTCACTGGGTATACCTGGGGTTTAGTAAGACATTGCAGGATATTCTCTACAAATGACAGATGCTGCAATCTGGGGAATGTAACTGTTCAGGATTGTAGCCTGCTTCATTTGTTTGTAAGTAAGGTCCTCCCTGCCCCTTTATAGAGGGGACACTAGTTACTCTTCTCTAGCCTTTTCTCTCCAGATCCTGGGGAAGGTACATGGGGCTTGGACTGGATTAATTTCTCTCACTACTATATTCCAGCATCCTAGAATGCATGCTTAATTACAACAAAATAACAACAACAATAACAGCAACAGTGACCCCTTAAATAGCACATATTATGTACCAGGTACTGTCCTAAATGCTCTGCATTTATTAACTTAAATAATCCTCCAATGTAGGTACTGTTATAACCCCATCTGATGAGGAACTATAGACATAGAGAAGCTAAGAAGCTTTCTCAGGAATAGAATGCTTATACACTGCTGATGGGAATGTAAGTTAGTTCAGCCATGATAGAAAGCAGTTTGGATATTTCTCAAATAACTTAAAAAAGAACTACCTTTTGACCTAGCAATCCCATTACTGGGTATGTACCCAAAGGAATATAAATCATTCTACCACAAAGACACATGCACGCATATGTTCATTGCAGCACGTTTCACAGTAACAAATACATGGAGTCAGTCTAGATGATGATCAATGATAGACTGGATAAAGAAAATGTGGTACATGTACACCATGAAATACCACAAAGCCATCAAAATAAATGAAATCATGCCTTTTGCAACAACATGGATGGAACTGGAGGCCATTATCCTAAGCAAATTAACACAGGAACAGAAAACCAAATACCACATGTTCTCACTTACAAGAGGGAGCTAAATATTGAGTACACAGGGACACAAAGAAGGAAACAACAGACACTGGGGCTTACTTGATGGTGGAAGGTGGGAGGAGGGTGGGAATAAAAAACCGCCTATCGGTACTATGTTCATTACCTGCATGATGAAATCATTTGTGAACCAAAACCCAGCAAGATACAACTTACCCACATAACAAATTTGAATATGCACCCCCTAAAGCTAAAATAAAAATTGGAAGAAAAAACTGAAAATTTTCCAGGAATAAAAGATACTACATGGCAGAGCTTGGCTTTGGGTTCAGGCTGTCCAG